AAAAAAAAAAAAAAAAAAAAAACAGAAGTAAAATTCACAAATTTCTGTAAATATTTTTATTATGAATATTCTTAGATACACAAAAGCTCAGGTGCAGCACAGAAACAAAATGCAGAAGAAAACAAAACACAAACAAGTGACGACACAAGCTGGAAAATTCACCTACAAATATCAAGCAAATAAAAGGGAAAACCCTACAGTATGTACAATTATATTAAAAATGGATCATGGTGAAAATGTTTTCTGCACAACTAATAAGAAATAAAATGACAGCAGACTGGTCGGTTTACAAACCATGGATTATCTTGGAAAAACTAAATGGTATCTAGAAATCAGACTGAAAACGGTGTCATTTGAAATGCATCACAACACGTTAATGGTGCAGAAACTCTTTTAAACACTTTTCTCCGAGATGCATTTGAAAATGTTTTGCTGCTTACGGAAGCAGATCTGAGAAAGTGATCCATTTTTAACAAGCAGGTCAAAAGAAGCGAGTTCAGAACTGGACTCATGCCTGGACCTCTGAATCTGCAGCGCCCTCTGGGTCTTCATCGTTGTAGATGTTTTCAGCCTGTGCAAGACAATTCACACAAATTTACTACATTTACTGCTTATAATAAATGTAATAAGCTAGAATTTACTAGTTGAGACAATGAAGTATTAAATTCTAAGTTTTACCATAGTCTCAACATCTACTCTTCATTTTAAACAAAGAAAAAGAAAACATGCAATAATATCACTTGCGATAAGTAAACCATTTAAAGAGTGTTAATATGTTTCTGCTATAGTTTCATAGGAAACACCTCAGATAATAAGCCGTCTACCAAACTATTGGATAAAAACTAGATGCTTTATTCCCACATCAACAAAACAGCTTATTGAAAGTTTCTGCTGTTTCTGCATTGAAACAACTTTCTGTGCTGCAACCATCAAATCTCACCAAATGTATTGCTGCCCAGATGGTCCTGCATGATAATTTTATTTAGTACAGTGATATTGCAATAATAAATGTGAAATGTATTGTGCAGCCCCAGTTCCTACACATTATCCATGCTTGATAGTAGGAACAAGAATAGTTGAACTGATGAAAATATACAAGAACTGACAGATGGACGTGTATAGATTTACAGCTGGATGGATGCAAATGGAACAGGATGTTCTAAATAAATAAAATCTTGAATTCAAATGCTTTTCCAGAGCTGTAAAATGTATAAATCTATTGTGAATAACTCGGGATGTGACATATCCATCAGTCAGGGCTTACCATCTGCCACACTTGCATGATGTTGTCCTCTGACACCGAACAGATGACCCACGGCTCGTTGGGGTTCCAGGAAAAGTCGGAGATCTTAGCTGTGTGTCCGCCATGGATGAACTGGGAATGAGAGCAGGAGTGATTAGCACACCACCTACCATCCAACTGAAACCAGAATCTGAGACAGCGGCTCACCAGCAGCTCGGGAGGGCCATCCTCAGCGTCCTCTGGCGACTGCTCCTCTCCGATCTTACTCAGGTCCCAGACGTTGAGCCGCCTGTCGGTGCCGCTGGAGGCCAGGATCGTCTCGTTATGAGGAGACCACTGAACCTGTGAGTAGAAGACAGGAGAGGGGGAACAAAAGCCTCTAAAAATACTATATTTTCATAGTTTGACACAGATTGCTCTGCATTTATTTAAAACACATTTAATGCTATTTGTTTTTTGAATTAGCACTAACCAATGTTAGTTTGTACATATGTTCCTCAACCACAAAATAAGTTTAAAAATCCAGCACTATTGTGTTTAAGATGTTTTCATTTCTTAAAAATAATAATAAATAATAATAAAATAAGTGTAGGTCCTACCTGGAAGATCTCATCCTTGTGAGACTCAAACGAATGGAGTTTCAGTTTCAGGTTCCTCAAGTCCCAAAGGGCCACAGTCTGAAAATATAAAAGAAAACAGAACCAAAGCAAATTGATTCAACTGAAACCGGACTTAAAAGAACAAGATGCCATTTAAGAGTTCACTAAAATCTCATCCCACCTTGTCAGCAGAGCCAGTGGCCAGAATGAACTCACTGTAGGGATTAAAAGACAGGCAGTTGACTTCAGCAGTGTGAGCGTCCACTGCATGGCTGGGCTTGGAGGTGTTGTTTGACCGTGTGTCCCAGCTGTTCCAAAGACAGAATGAACTGATGTTCAGATAAAAGCCCAGAATTGCTGATTTTGTTCTGAGAAGGTCACATACATCATGAGTTTCTGGTCGTCTGCCACAGATCCGAAGAGGGATTCGTGGAGAAGATGCCAGGAGACGTCCTCCACCACAGCAGTGTGGCCTGTGAAGATTGTTTTGGCATCTACGATCTTCCCCTCCTTTGGCACCGTGCTGATATCCCAGAGACATATAGTCTGAAGAAGTCAAAAAAAGTGAAAATAGTTGTTTAACTGTAAAGAATGTTACAGAGTCTGATTGTGAAAGAGAAGTAAAAGTAATTAAACAGATTAGTAAAGTTGCAAAGTCTTTAGTCGAGTCTCTTACATGGTCATCAGAAGCACTGAGGAGGCATCCGCTGAGGTTTGGGTTCCAGGAGAGACCGTAGCCTTCCTTCTGGTGTCCCCTGAGTCGCAGGTCTGGGGTGCATTCTCCAGAAGGATCTATTATAGAAAATTAAACTAATGCTAAATGAATCTGTAAAGTTTCAGAAGGAAACTGTGGTACAAAACACTAAATTGTTTCAGAAGGGCCCTTACCAGGTTTGGAGGGGTGTTTTGTGTAGTCAAAGACCAGCACATCACTGGTGGGGGTTTTGGTGGCAATAATGCAGGGGTTCTGGGGCATATAGCGCGCTCTGTTCACTTCTCCCTCATGGTTGATCTTGATCTCAATCTCTATTTTTCCACTAACAGAGCCAAAGCCTCCAAACTCTGAAAGAAATACCTTTATTTAAACTACCTTCAACTGGTGCAATAAGTCTTTGTTATAGTTTCACTGAATATTACTCACCTCCTTTCTCACTGTCATAGTGTGAAGCATCAAACTGGGCATCATCATTTGGAAGCTGAACACTGGCAATAACAAGGTGATTCTGCTCGTCAGAGGTGTGCGTCCCCAAAACCAGTCTGTGCACACTGTAGTCCTTTCCCTCGGGTCTGTGAAGAACACAACCACAAAATAAACACAATTAAGTAGGACTGGGCAATATGGCTCAAAATTAACTTTTCTCATACCAAATCGTATTTCCGATTTATTTATTTTTTTTTAAATAAAATACAAATGACAGAAAACTTGCTTTGATTTATGCCTTCTAGGATTTGACTTGAATTCAATCTCCAACTAAATACAAGCTGTAAAACAAAAAGGTTGGCCCACGGCGCGGTGACATCACACTGAACTGTGGAAACCCAAGAGGTGCATTGGTGGAAATAAACCCCAAAATTAGACCTTCATAAGCAGAAAAAGATTGATTTATCGTCCAGCCCTACGTAGTCATCTCAAATTTAAATCAACAAAAGTCTGCAAACAGATTTTTAGTGTTGATTCTCAAATGAAATTGATTATAATTTCAGTCATAATTCTAGATTTGCTGTATCATTTTCACCATTTTCTCTTTTTTTTTCCCCACATCTGCAAATAAGGGTAGTTGATGAAAACAATGACAAAAATGTTTTGTCTGTAACATTAGTGATAATTTTAATAACTATACAATATTGTTTATTTACGTTGTACATTTCCCCTTATCTCAGTCTCTTATTCTTATTTTTCAGTCCCCCAGCCCCACCATCTTATTTTGAGCTTGCATACTTCTATTTCCATTTAACTTGCTGATAGTGCACCTGAATTTCCTCATTGTGGGACAATGAGGAAATCTCTATTCTATTCTAAAGAGCATGTGAGTGAAGCAGATATACAGCAGCCTACGAAAATCAGTTTATTACTCTCAAGTTGCAGACAATATTTCACAAAGGGAGCTCTGCCATGGATCCATATCTAAATATAAATGATGTTGGAAATTAGTTGAGCTCAGAAATGGAAATTGTAAGCTCCTCTAATCAAATTCTGCTTAAGGCCCCATACAAACTTGGATCAGCTGTTTCTGTATTGATATTTGTGAAGGTGTAGCTCATCTCATGCTCACCTGGTGACATCTGGCAGCCACTGAGCGGTCAGGCTGGGCCACTCCAGGGCGTGAGTCATGACCAGATCATAGAGGAAAGGGGTGTTCTTCTTCCAGATCTTGTACTCTTCATTGATCACCCTTTCCTCCACGGCATCATCAAATGCAGCTGCAAAAACACATCCAATCCACAGTGCTGTTAGGAAAACAACTACAAACCTCACATTAGCTTAGCAAACTAGAAGACATCTGAGAATAACCATGTGGCATTTAGACTATGTCAACTACCTACTTGTCATTAATATGCCAGAACTATGGTAATGATTTTAGGTTATTTCCTGTGTTGTAAATGACTATAACACGGTAATTTATAGTAAGATAACTGTAGAAACACGTATACATAACACACAGTCCCACATTCACCAATACATGATATATATTATTTCATTAAAAGTCCCCTTGTTACCAGCGAGTTAGCAGCTAACACCTAGCATGCTGCTCCGTAACAATGAAAGGAGATGCTGGCTGACGCGCCAACAGCCGCCGGTCCGACAGCTCTCGGGCTTTAAATCATTAAAAGCTATGAACATTCAAAAATAAACTTCTAGTCCTGAACCATTGGCATTCTTACCGTCTTTATCGGCCATTTCGTCTTAACTACACAGAGAAGTCAGGCGAAAATAAGTATTTTTCGGGAGAGCGCACAGAACACAGCACGGAGGTCCGCAATGGCGCCAACTCCACAGAACACCATCAGCCAATCAGCATGCAGCAAAGCCGACAGGAAGTCCTTATGACATTAGATCCGGAAGATCCAAAATGCAACATGGAAACTCGGAAATTACAAAATTGTGTTTAGAAAATCCACACATAGTCTAGTTTTTAAAGTGTTACCCATAATAAGTCTTCGAAACATCAATATAAAGCGTAACTTTACAACATCTAGAAGCAACAATGAATAGTAACCTAAATCTTTAGAAAGTCCTATCTTCCCATAATCAAGGAATTCTTAGGGTTTTTTAGATAATGTGCTCTTTCTCTGCTTTTACTAAATTGTAATATGATTGTTATATTGGGATTAACAGCAGTACAGTATATCTGATGATCATCGTTTGTTTTCTCCGATTTATTTTCAACAGTTTGTGCGCTACATAAATTTACGAGACAAATGGTTCAGACCTTGAACGCAACACTTTCTGTTTTAGCTCTTTTTACATGTTGTTGACTAGAAATAATTACCATTTTTACGTTTAAATCAACTTCCAGTTTCAATGGATGACCGTGAGCTAGACCTGACAGAGGAACAGAAAGCTATTAAATCAAAATATCCTCCTATCAACAAGAAATATGAATGTAAGTCAGGAATAATCACGAAAAATGTTGTTAGCTTAGCTTGTTCCATGAGGTAAATAAACCAAGTTTTGTTTGTAGCAATTTACGCTGCATTTAGATCCAAAAAATGAATGTTAAACATCTTAAATTAAGCGTGTTACATTAACGAGGTATCACTATATATCCCGTGAAACAGCTGTCACTACTGCTGCTCACCCTAGTCAACTACAGTTCTTTAAACTCATGCCTCATTTTTTATTTCAGATCTGGATCATACAGCAGACGTGCAGTGAGTGTTTTGCCTCCTGCTTTAATAAATGAGTGTCTGCCATGTGTCCAGTGATCACTTTGATTGTTTCATGTATTTATATTTTCCAGAATTCACTCCTGGGGAGACTCCTTGGAGGAAGCTTTTGAGCAGTGTGCGATGGGAATGTTTGGCTATATGACGGACACAGAAACTGTGGAACCCACTGATACTGTTGAAGTGGAATCAGAAGGTGAGAAATCAGCAGGAAGCATGTTGTTCCTTGAGTTTAATGTGGTGTACCAACGCAAAGTGGTGAAAAACTGTTTCATAAAGTGAAAAAAGACATGTTTCATGAAATAAATGTTTCATTGGGATGGAAATTGATCTGTGGTAACTATTGTTTTAGTATTTAAAATTCAAAGGAGGGCTGCCTCTATTCCAGTGCTTCTGATTTAAATCTAATGAAACGTGTTGCCTGTAGAATTCACCAGTGTCATCATGAAGACAACTCACTGAAAATATGAAAATATGAGAAAAATAAAAAATGGTACCGATATACATATTCTGTTTTCTGTTACAAAAATCTTAAAAGTTTGTGCAGTGTCATATTTTGCACCCATTCTGTCAGAAAACATTTGTCATCATGCATTTCCTGCTAACCTCAAACAAAGTTGGAGATGCTTTCTGACATTTTTTAGGTGCATGAAAATAGGTTTCAAAGCATCTGAGAGATCTTTTTTTTCCAAATTGTATCAGTCAGGAGATG